TTTTATCTGTTATCGTTGTAGATCGATACATTTTTTTAAGTATCGACACTTTATAGGCGCTAAAACTTCTTTTAAATTCACAAAGTGTCATCCTTATATAAAGTATCGACACTTTCAATATATCCGGTAGCGTTTTACCGGTTTCATCATTTTGATACCGGTTTTATCATATTTTTACATGTTATATCGTTGTTGATCAATATATTTTTTAAAGAATCGAACACTTATAGGCGCTAAAACTATTTCTCTTTTAAATTAACGAAGTGTCGATCCTTATATTAAAGTACTGACACTTTAAATATATCCGGTACGCTTTACGGTTTTATCATTCAATATTAGTTTTGTTATAGTTTTACCTGTATATCGTTGTGGATCGATACATTTTAATTTGGATCGACACGAATCGACAAGTTAAGTTTACCGGTTGCAATTTTTAATATTTCTTCATGACTTAGACCTATTATATTATATAGTCAACATTTCGGCAACGCTAAACTGAATTTATTAAATCTTTTAATATATCTGGTAACGTCGTATATTAATAGTATATTAACCTGCTGTTCTGAGACCTGACGGGCTAGCATTGCGACAGAGTAGAAGACGAAGGTGACGTAGGTTGATTGAACGAGACTAAAACAAAGCTATGTTTTTAGGCGGCTATGATATATGGCAGAATGATTTTCATCATTTATTTTTCCCTTAATAACATATATTATTATTAAAATTATATTTTATTATTAAAATAAAACCCCATATAGGAATAATACAGTTATACAGTGCGAACTTTAATATAAGGCTAAAATAAAGTGTTATCGATTTTGTTTTATTTAAATAATAAAATCGGTAAAAAAAAATTCGGTAATATTATTATTTTTACTTAAAACATCATTTTTAAATATTTCTGGTCATTTTAACGCCTAGTAATGTACTGGTCGTTTTTTAGCGTCTAATAATTTTCGGTAATTTTTCAAAAATTCGGTTAAACGTCCAATAATAATAAAATCGGCCATTTTTTAGCGCCTAATAATATTTCCGGTCATTTTTTTACCGGTTTGTTATTTAAACAATAATAAAATCGATAGCACCTTTTTTAATCGTATATTAAGACTGATGCACGTGATCATTCCTAGATAATAATAGAAAGATAAGGACATTTTTTCAAATCTAATTATATAATAGGTAGTTTAAGATTAAAAGACTCCTTATAAACTAAATTGGTTAAAATACAGGATAAGTCCTTATGGTTGCTAGAAAATATTTCCAAAATTACACATTTATTTATTATGGTAACAAAATAAAAAATAAAGCCACCAAAAATTTTGAATTAGCAAGATTAAAATATTAACCTCTATTTGAGGTGTCACACATCTACTTCAAATTTTATATAATATTCATGGTAATACTGCTGGATTGATTGAAAATTGCTCTCCCTATAACTAAAATTATTATTTTCAGGAATAATAAAAAATTATCTCTCCAAAATAATTATATTTTATAATTCTAAAGTCAATACCTACTCTATATTGATATAGAAAATTAATTTTATCACCAAGAATCTTTGATCTAAAAATTTTGTTTATTATTAGATAATCTTTAGTCAATAAAATTTAAGTCAATATCTAATAGGATGCTTATTGTTTGATTATTTGCTCCCTTAATCATTATCTATTTTAATTTGTTTAAATGGTAGAAAACAATATTTTAGGATGAGTTTGTCACGCTTGACGAGCACCGCTGAACACCATTAATTTAATTTATAACAATTTAAAATTCTAAAAAACTTAACGTATAATTATAAATTAATTAAAATTTAAAGGTAAATTATTTAAAATAAATATTAATTATATTTTTCATAAATTTTTAACAATAAAAATTATAATTTACTTTTAAAAATTGTTTAAAAAAGGTTATGAAAATAATGTAATTAATATTTATTTAAATAATTTACTTTTAATTTTTAACTAATCAATAATTATACGTTGAGGTCCTTAAAAATTTTAAATTTTTATAAATTAAATTAATAGTACTTAATGATATTCGTCATTAGTGGCATTCAACAATACTCATCGAACGTGATAGAATTTTTCTATATTCTATATGTTTTCTTAGCGTACACTTGAATTATTAGTGGTCTGGTTTTAGCTCTATCATTCAAACGTGACGCCACTTACTCGTGCAATCATCGGCTAAGGTAAAGGGTATCTATCAATGTCTTTGTTTCTGTGAGATAATATCTCCATTTCTAAGTATTTATGAGTGCTTCTTTCTGATAAAATCGAGGGATAGAAGAGATCAAAATTCTTTCTTTTCCTTTTTTTTTCCGGTTCAAGCAACAAAATTCAATTTTTGGTTAAGACTTAATTACCACTTTTAAAGACTTGCATATCATGATGCTCTATTAACTTTATAGCTCTTCAGTTGATCCAATCACTTAGTGAGTAAAATATATAATTTCTTTTAATTTCAAGTTTAAGGGGGTCTTGAGTAGTTTCAACATTATATATAAATATAATTTGATTTAAAGTAATATTTGTTTGAAGAGCTCTCAATTATTTGATAATAAAAGCTCAAACATTCCTATAGACGTTTGCTCGAACTCAAAATCTCTATAGATAACAATCATCCCTTAATCATTGAGATCATTTGATTCGTACTATAAATTTAAATTTAAAGAAGACATTATTAAAACGATGATCTTAAATTTTGATATGAATCATAAAATAATACTAATATGTGAAGCCTGATCGTCCAAGGCTATGGAGTTTCTGGATTTTTTTCATAAAGAAGGTGAAAATGAACCAAATCTAAATTATGATCCAAGATATCTTTGAATATATGCGAATCCTGCCCACCAGCTTGGATAACTTTATTTAAACATATAAATACAACAACTCTTGTATGATTTTAATCTTAAAAATTATATGGGCCGTATGCGAAAGTGGAAATTTGATCTGTTCATTCTATTTCCATTCTGAATTTTAATATTAAATGTGATTATTGATAGTTAAACTTTACAATTTTTTAAAATAATTTATATTAAGATAAAATTATTAAATATTTATTATCATTACGATTATTTTCTATATAATAAAAAAGCTAGATATGTGAAATTAAAAATATCATAAAATTATTTTATAATCATATATTTTATTTAAGAAATATTATCTTTTGAACGTTGTTGAATCGTTCAAAATAAGATTGTGACATTTTAAAATGCGAGGCCCCACTTGTGGATAAACAGCAACAAAGTTCAACTTTCTCAACAGCCTAGCTAACTGCTGGCATCAGCTACAAGCACATTACACATTATTATTCTCAACATCGCATATCATTTTTGGCTATTCTGTCCTACCGTATCTTAATTTGAGGTTAAAAATTAATATGATCTAAAATATTATAAAAATTATAAAACTTTTGTTTAGACACAATTTAAAATTTTAACAATAAATGTTTCTGATTTAATTAAAAATATTATAAAAATATAATATTTTCAGTTATCAATCGTAAAAATTAAAAAAAAAATAAGATTTTTAAATTAAGAAAACTTTCAACTCTTTAATATTTTTGAGAATTAGAGTTGAAGGAGTGAGATAAATAAATATGTAAAAGTTGATTTTTAAGACATTTAGCAGCTTTGACTGATATATTTATTTGCTTCAAAATTGAAAACATAAACTTATAAACCCTATCGTTTAGCAGCTTTGACTGATATATTTATGTAAAAAAAATTGAAAGTAATAAAAACATAAAAAAAACAACTATTAAAAATATATAAAAATTATCAAAGACATATTTTAAGGGTAAATTCTTCATTTAATACATAACTATTATTATTTTTTTATCTATTTTAGTATTTTATTTTTTTCAAAATCATATCTAATATTAGTTTTTGTTATATTTAGTATTAAACTGTTAAAAACTTAATGTGTTTATACCTAAACTATCAAATTTAGTATGTTTTAGTACCTAAACTTTAAATATTTTAATATTAAATTTTGAATATTGGTACTAAAATGAAATAAAAACTAATTTTTTAGTATGATTTTTAACAAAATAAAAGTTTAGATACTAAAACATATCAAAATTAATAGTTTAGATACTAAACGCATAATTTACCCTAATTTTAATAAAATCAACCTTGTATTACATTATAAATCATTTTCTTTATTTTATTTCACGCATCAAATTATTTGTTAATAAAGTTTAATATAATAATAAAATATTTTTTAATATCATAGTTTTGAATAACAGAATCTATAGAATCGGTATATATCAAAAAATTCTAAATAAATATTCTTATTTGAATATGAAACAAATATGATATTAAAAATCTTATTATTAAAGTTAAACTCTAATATAATCTTTATCAGCAGCGTAGACTAAGCCCCAAACTTTATAGCTATGCCCATTGTACCCAAAATTAGTCGGAATCATGTCAGTCACAGAATGGGTCCAGACAAGTCATGCGCTTGTGGAAATTTCAGAGTAATGCACTTAGTAACTATTCAAATTTGATTGGAACACCAAGTTTAAAAAAATTGATTGGAACACAAGAAATGTGAAACAAGGTGATTTATCAGGTACGATCATTTTAATATACGAATAAAGAAATATATTATTAAAAATATTAATATTTTTTAATATTTTTGATAAAACGTTATTTAAAATATTATTTTTCTATTGAAAATATTAATATTGAGCGCTACCTAAAATGTTTAATATTTTTAGTAAAACGCTACCTAAAATATTATTTTTTCTACTGAAAATGTTAATATTGGACGCTACCTAAAATATTATTTTTTTACCGAAAATTAAATAACGAAATTAACATTTTCGATAAAAAATAATATTTTAAATAATATTTTATCGAAAATATTAAAAAATATTAATATTTTTATCATAATCTTTTCTTAATAGTATATTAAGACTGTCCTAAATCAGAACTACCCATTAAACAGTGGTAAAAGATTTGGTTATAAACAGGCCCGACTGGTCATTATTTTGCAGACTAAAAGATCTCTTAATTAGATTTGAAGGAAATGTTGGGGTAATGGCGGAGGTCAAAAAGAAAAAGCATTTCATTCTAATACACGGAGCATGTCATGGAGCATGGTGCTGGTACAAACTCAAACCAAGGCTCGAGTCAGCCGGCCACCGTGTGACGGCGGTCGACATGGCGGCCTCAGGCATCAACACCAACCAAATCCAGGCCGTTCACTCCATGTACGAGTACACTAAACCATTGTTGGAGATATTAGCCTCGTTGCCTGACGATGAAAAGGCTATTCTCGTTGGACATAGCTTGGGAGGCCTGAATTTGGCCCTGGCAATGGACAAGTATCCGCAGAAGATCTCAGCTGCTGTTTTCTTGACCGCTTTCATGCCTGATACTGCACATAAACCTTCATTTGTTTTAGAACAGGTACTTTAAAACAAATCCCTGCAAAATTTTCCCCACAAATTCTTTGATTGAGACTGTCTTTTATTTTCTGCAAAGTATTGGGGAAGGACACCACCGGAAGCTTGGTTGGACACTCAATTTGCTCCATATGGAGAACCAGAAGAGTCTTTGATGTCGATGTTTTTTGGGCCCAAGTTCTTAACATTCAAACTTTATCAGCTATCCCCAGTTGAGGTATTGATTTTTCAATCCTTAATTTTAGTTATACGCTCTCGAACCTTGGACTTTAAAGATAACAATATCTTAATTACTGATGTTGTTTAGTTAGTGTTTTATACAATCATTTTAAACATGATGTATACTTTGTTTTAAAGGATCTGGAGCTGGCAAAGGCTCTGATCAGGCCAGGATCATTGTTCGTAGCCGATTTATCGAAGACAAGCAGGTTGTCAAACGAAACGTACGGAAGTGTTCCTCGAGTGTACATTGTGTGCAATGAAGACGAAGGGATACCAGCTAAATTCCAACGGTGGATGATCGAGAATTTTGAAGTGAATGATGTGATGGAGATAAAGGATGCAGATCATATGGCTATGTTCTCAAAGCCACATGAACTGTTTAATTGTTTGTCAGAAATAGCACATAAATTTGGCTGATGTTATTAATCGAGTGGCCGTTTGATTTGTTAAGCTTTGGTTTTTTCATGGAGATACTGTTGTTTATGGGGTAGTTGGATGTTGTTGGATTCTTCGGATGGAAATTCTCTGCCGCTTATTAGTCTCTCTTTTTTCGTCTCTTTCACCATAACACACCACTATACATTAATTACTTCAATATTTTAATATTTAGTATTATTTTTTTTCATTTTTACCAGAATTTATTTTTCATGTATATGTTAGATTTTGCTTATATATTTATTTATTAGTAGTGAATATTAATTTAAATTAAATTACATTTAATAAAAATTACTTTTTGGTCTTGTTATTATTATAAAAAAATTAATTATATTATTAATTTATAGTTAATATGAAGCATAGCACTTGTGGAAGATTGAGGCCTCGAAACAAAGCACTTTGAAGGAGCAGTTTCATCTCTCTTAGTCTCTTTCGTTAACTTGGATTGATTTTATGGTGATTTTGTCGCAGGGGTTAGATTTTATTAGTTTAAGTAATTTAAAGGATTAAATTGTAAGTTTTAGAAACCTGCAGCTCGGTTTTGAAACTTTGAGAAGTTCAGGGACATAATCTTAGACTTTCCCAGTTTTCCTGGGTAATGAAAAATAAACCCAGATAAACCCGCAAAATTTTTCCCAACCCTGAACCTTAGCCTCGTCGATCGCCCAAAATTTGTCGCCCCGGACATAAGTTGGGATTGTTTTGGTTGGAGAATGCTTCGAGAGTGTTATGCCGTCCGTTCCGACCCTTTTAAATGTCACCACGAGTCGACAGTGCATGTGGGATTTGTCCGCCGATCCAGGAAGCTTCTAGAACCGATCCAGTCTAAACCGAGTCAACTCGTCTGATTCAACTCGTTCGAGACAACATGTTGACTTTGACCGTCAACTTTGACCCATTGACTTTGACCGTTGAACGTTGACTTTGACCCAAAAAGTCAAAATTTCTGAAAAGTCTTTATTTATGTTTTTCGACGTCCTAAGTCTGAATTTAAAGTCCGTTTTGCCAAATTCACATTCGGTAAGCCGTTTTCAGTGTTTTACCTTCAGATTCAATTTGGTTTCTCAATTAAGTTCAGTTTCTAACGTAAATTCGGTTGTTATGTATCCGATGAATTATTGGACGTTGAATTCAAGTTTAAGAGTGATAAATTGGAGTTTAAATGTTTGATCGGTGGAGCACAAAAATCGAGGTAATACTTGACTACATTTTGTATGCTTTCCGGAACTTGTTGATAATTGATAACTAAATCGATGAAATGATTGGTCCTTTGGGTAAAATTAATAATTTTTGGACTTGAACAAAATTTCGGTAAAATGACAGTAAACTGTATAAGACTCATATGGCTCGCATAAGAAACTGGAAATAATTATAAGTTCAGTGATTCATTAATAAACGAATTGACTTCAAGATCAATAAATTTTGATTAATTTCTTTAAATGTTAAATACCAGGAATATTTGGATAAGAAAATACCAAAATATCCCTATGAGGTAAAATTACAAAAATGCCCTTATACTGTAAAAGACCAAGACTTCCCTTGATGGTGAAGAATAACCTAGAAAAGACATACTTGACCAATTATCAAAAAAATTGCATATTGTTTGGATTAAAAGAAATTACTGAAATGTCCTCGAGATACGATATAACCTCAAATGTTCAAATGACCAAAATACCCTGAACTATAAATGAACTAGAATATTTTGAAGCATAATTTATCGGAAGTAATGCCGCTGACAGAATTTAATGGAATAACGATAATACGCTTAAAATGTAAAAATGACTATGGATGGATATGATATTGGAGATGACCTGAGAACTCAAATTTTGATTCGCTTGAACCTTGGAATCATCGATTAAATTCCTGATATATTGGAAAAACCCCAAAAAATAAACTTCTATATTTGTAAATTCTTAATATTATGATCCCCGTGTTTTTGAATGATCATTTGAGGATTAGATTATTGGAAGTGCAACACGTCACTGAAGTATTTAATTGATGAATTATTCTCAAGTTTTGAAATAACTAATATGTCTAGAACCCCAAACTGACTAAAATAACACTAACGTCGAGATGACCTAAATACCTTTATGACTTGGATTAAGTGAGTGTCGTTGGATAGACTACGAGAACATCAATGAACCTAAATGATGTACTTCCTCTAAAGATTATGGAGCACGACCCAAGTCGTTGGACATTTTGGGATGCTATTACAACGTGGAAATGAAATAAATACCAACGAAATACCTATTTATTTCCTCAAGAACTGATCAAGGATGATTATGATATTGATCAGATCAGTTGGTGCAGTCAGTAATAAGAAGTGAATAATAGTGAAATATCACGGTCCTAATGATTGACAAGTATCTCAGTATTAGGATTTGTAGTTCAACCGGACTCGAAATCCTGATAATTCAATATATAATCTTGAATACCACAAACCACCGCTTTATCCTTATTGAGTTATATGAATGAGAATTCTTCAAGAACCAAAATGTCTGGAATAATCTTGTTTGTTTGAGTAATGGAATCACTCCTGTCATACTTGAAATCTTAAGTAACTCTGATGCACAAGATTTTGAATGCCTTCCTAATACCCAATTGCCTACGAAAAATATCTGAATAATGTATGATCTTGATAAATCACTTCTCAAATGAATGATGAATCAATTAGCTATCAAACCCCCCCTTTTATAGCGATCTTGATTATGAAATCCAATTAAATTACAAAAGTTTCATGGTCCCCTACCTGATAATACCAAGTATCTCCGAATGATATCTAGATCTTCTAGTGTGTTCCTTATGTCACATGTAAATGTTTTACTTATTTTAAAACGTGATTTTTCGAAATAACTGATTTACTGGTTTATGAGCTATGGTTACTTGAAATATTTTCCCTGGTTACCTGTTTTCATTGTAAAATATGATCATTACTAATTTATGGATCATGGAATCTATTAGTTACTACTTGAAATGCTTTTTTGGGACATTATCTGGGTAGGATACAAGAATATAGAGGTTCAGTTCGGTCAAACTGGTAATTCCTTATATAGATTCAGACTAATCGAGCTGGTAATTCCTTACGAACCTAAGGTGACCCTTGGGTAGGCTCTGAGGCCCCGAGAAACTTTCTTAGGTAGGCTCTGAGGCCCCGAGAAACTTTCTTAGGTAGGCTCTCAAGCCCCAAGGCACTCCCTTGGGTAAATCATGACACTGTGTATGGTGTATGGGTGAAGGGCATTTATTTGATTTAAATAACTACATGATCATTTTTACTCTGTAATATTGAATCATTATTTTGATATTAAAGTTACTACTCAATCTGATTTCTATTGGGTACTGTATGGGTAGACTGGAGTATGCAAGTTCAGCTAGGGATGGCAAAAAAACCCAAACCCGACGGGAAAAATCGAAAATCGAATTAAATGGGGACGGGGACAGGTTTGGTAATCCCCGCCCCGATTACCCGATACCCGGCTCGATACACATCCCGATAAATATTAAAATAATTATTATATATATAATATTAATAAATTTAATTTAAATTAAAAATATATATAATATTTATATATTTAATTTAAATATATATACCCGGCCCGATACCCGTTTAAATAACTGTTTTATGCTAAACGGGGATCCCCGTTTAAATCCCCGTGGTTTTTTAAGCGGGGACGGGTATGGGTTTTTTAAACGGGGACGGGACCAATACCCGACCCGAACCCGGCCCGTTACCATCCCTAAGTTCAGCTCAGTTAAACTGGTAATTCCTTATATAGGTTCAGATCGATCGATCTGGTAATTCCTTACGGACCTAAGGTGATCCTTGGGTAGGCTCCGAGGCCCGAGAAACTTTCTTGGGTAGGCTTTCAGGCCCCAAGACACTCCCTTAGGGTGGCTCCTTTGATGTGTGCTTAGAGTAAGTTTTTATGGATGTAGTTCTGGGGAAACTGCATAAAGTTGTTTGGTTAGAGGGTTTTACTAAGGTTTTAAAAATATGTTTTAAACTGTTATTGTTTTAAAAATATTTGTACCATTTTCACCGGTTTTTTGTTGGAACACACTAGACATCATATTCCGATCTCCTGAAAACTTGGTCCTCTGAATGTTTCGTATGAATTGAAATCTTCATGGCTTTTACTCTAAGAAATATCAATGGAATCTCAGCTCATACCGCAAACTTGTAGACGTCTAAATAGATAAGGAAATGTTTATGTTTGCCTATTATCTGCATGTCCTTCAGCATCACTTGGTAGTTCTGTATTATTGAGCTTCCCAAAGCTTACTCTTTTACTCACTATTTCAGGTTAAGATAATCGAATCAGTGCAACTATCGACATCAGTAAAGGAGTTCCACCGACGTTGCTTGCGGAGTACGGTGTATGTGATTAGGGAGTATGTAGGTTGTATTTTATTTTTATATACGAGTCTGAAATCTGTTTTATTTATGAATATTGTTAAATTTTACTTTTGTATTTATAAATTGTTTTATGATTTTAGGCGTTTTAACAAAAATTTAATTTTCCTAGATTTTTAATTGTGGGTCGCTCCGGTGGCCCTAATGTGACACCCCAGATCGGATCGGGTCACCCGCATCGGTATGTGGGTGTTACATATTTTATTCATAATTTTTGTATGGGGCTTATAACTAGTTGTAAACTATCTGAGGCAGTTTCTGATTCTTCCTCTTAAGTTGCATTCAAACCATAGTTGGCTTGCTTTTGTGTTTAGTAGGTTAATATGTGCATTGCAACATTTTGGGTCCATGTCAAGCCCCGTTTCCATGGTTTAATCTTCATGAAACATCAATTTAGATACCTTATCGTGCAATTGCTTGAATATTTCGCTTCTTACCAGTTTGCTATTATCTTAAAATCTGTGGTTGGTTTTAAAATAATAAATTATTGCATATTCAGAAAAAGTCATACGATATGAATTTTATGCCATATAAATATAAAAATAATGTTGCAATATAAATTATTACTTTTTAAGCTAGACATTTTTATAAAAATTTTCTTGATAGAATGATTTAAAACACACACACACACGATTAACAAACTATTGATATATTTTATTGGCTTAATTAGAAAATAAGTGTCTAAACTATAT